CCCTAAACCCTAAACCCTAAACCCTTTAGGACGAGGCCCCGGATCCCAAACCCTAGTCGCCTGCGCGAACACCCTGCCACAAACCACCCCAGTGCTCCAAACCCTAAACCCTAAACCCGAAACCCGAAACCCTAAACCCTAAACCCTAAACCCTAAACCCTCGAGCACCTGCAGGAGGTCAGGGTTTGAGGCGCCGATCATCTGCAGCACCTGAGGGAGCATTTGGGGGTTTGTCTGCAGCACAAATCAAGCGGGAAGCAAATCAACTTTGCTGCTGTTGCTGCTGCTGCTGCTGCTGTTTCTGCTGCTGCTGCTGAACAACCAGCGCCAACAGCTTCAAAAGCAGCAGCAGCAGCAGCAAATTCCAACGCAGCTGCAGCAGCAACGCCATCTGCGGCACCATGTGAAACAGCGTACAATCATACCAGCAGCAGCAGCAGCAGCAAGACAGCAACCGGACTAACAGCAGCAGCAGCAGCAGCAGCAGCAGCAGCTGACCTGCGTGAGCTGGCGAACTTGCTGAAAGACAGGATGGGTGCGGAGGCCCGCTAGAGGGTTGTCATCTGCTGCTGCTGCTGCTGCTGCTGCTGCTGGCTCTCCTGCTGCAGCTGCCTGTCCTGCTTCTGCTGCTGCTGCTGCTGTTCCTTCTGCTGCTACGGACGGCAAAAGGTCTTCAGGAATGCCCTGAGTAAATAAAGAAAAACAGACCATTAGGGTTTAGGGTTTAGGGTTTAGGGTTTGGAGGAGCCTCAGGAGGGATACGCGAAAAACTGGAAAGACACAAATAAAGAAATAAAAAAGAAATAAAAAAGGAATAAAAACTAAAAGAATGAAAAAATTTTAAAAAAGAATAAAAAAGAGATAAAAAATAAAAGAAATAAAAAAGAAACTAAAAAGAAAAAAGGAATTAAAAGAAATAAAAAAGAAGTAAAAGAGTTAAAAAGAAATTAAAAAAAATAAAAGAGAAATTAAACAAATGGAAAACAAATAGAAATAAAAAAACAAAAATGCAAAAGTGAAAAATTGGAAAAAGCGGAAAAGCAATAAAACCAAGACACGAAAAGGGAATTTTTAAAATTCAAAATTAATTAAATTAAAATAAATTAAATTAAATTAAATTAAATTAAACAAAAATAATTCAAAAGGATTCAAACAAATGATAAATTAAAATAAAATGAATTAAAGCGAATTAAAATGGACTAAATTAAATTAAGATAAATTGAAATAAATTAAAATAAATTAAAGTAAATTAAAATAAAGTGAATTAAAACAAATTAAATAATTAAAATATATTAAAAAAAAGAATTCGAAATAAATCAGCAAAAGGACAAAAAGGAGACACAAATGAACCAAAACAAATCCAAAATAAAAAAAAAATAGAAAGACAAAAGGAAAAGGCAAAAGCTTCTGGAGTTTTCAGAAGACTCAAAGGACAAAAGGGAGCTTCAAAAGACCCCCAAACCCTAAAAAAGGGTTTCGAAAAGCAGCAAAAGATGCAAAATGTTTTCAAAATTGAAATTAAAATCCTCCCCACATTCATTAAATACTCCACTGCTCTGTCCGGATTATTAAAAGCTGCTCGAAGAGCCACGCGACAATCTGCTGCTGAAAAACCCAACTCCTCCAGATTCTTCAAAGTCTGCAGCAGCAGCAGCAGCAGCAGCAGCAGCAGTAGTTGTCGTAGTAGTAGTAGAGTCGCAGTAGCAATAGTGTAGCAGTCGTAGCAGTGGCAGCAGCAGCAGCAGCAGCAGCAGCAGCAGCAAAGGAGCAGCAGCAGCAGCAGCAACGAAGCAATAGCAGCAGCAGCAGCAGCAGCAGCAGAAACTCACAGAAGTTCGAAATGTTGAATTAAATATTCTGCTGCTTGTGGGGCCCCACAAGTGCTTCTGCTTTTCATTTTTTAATTTTAATTTTAATTTTAATTTTTAATTTTAATTTTTAAATGAAAAAACAAAAACTCACTTCTTCAACTTCTGCCCCTGTCGCCAGAGCAGCAGCAGATTCGCTCATGACATCTGACCTCTGCTGCTGCTGCTGCTGCTGCTGCTGCTGCTGCTGCTGCGGCTCTGCTGCAGCCGGGGCTGCTGCAGCCGGGGCTGCTGCAGCAGCTGCTGCTGGCGGCTTCGCAGCGCCAGCAGCAGCAGCAGGAGCTGCTGCTGCTGCTGCTCCCGACGAATTTGCTGCTGCTGCTGCTGCAGGGCCGTTCGAGGAAGCCACTTGCTGAACAACAAACTCACAAAAACCCTAAACCCTAAACCCTAACCGTAAACCCTAAACCCTTAACCTTTAAGCCTAAGCCCTGTCCTCTGCACTTCTCCCACAGCTGCAATTATCATACCGCCTTTCACGAGGGTTTGGAGTCAGCCTAAACGCTAAATCAGGGTTTAGGGTTTAGGGTTGATTTCGGCTCCAAGGGCCGCGAGCCCCTCGTTATTTCGGCCTCTCCGGCAAATTAGGGTTTAGGGTTTAGGGTTTAGGGTTTACTTTGGAAGCGAGCACGACAAGTCTTCCGTATCCCTTGATCTGGGGGTAAATTAGGGTTTAGGGTTTAGGGTTCAGGGTTAACTATGGCTCCAAGAACCGCGAGCCCCTCGTTTTTGCAGCCTCCGACGCAAATCAGGGTTTAGGGTTTAGGGTTTAGGGTTTAGGGTTTACCTTGGTGACGAGGACGACGAGTCTCTCGTTGTCTTTGATTTGGGGGTACTGTTTGATTTGGAGTTTGTCTTCGAGGACTTTGCCTGCATGCACCAGCCGCTGCTTTGCTGCTGCCATTCGCGGAAAAGCTTTTTCTATTTTTTCTTTTAAATCTTTTATTGTTTCTTCCGGCTCCACGGAGACCTCGCACTCCTCCGCGCCCAGCGTGCGCACCCGCAGCCGCATTTTCCCGCTGCTGCTGCTGCTGCTGCTGCTGCTGCTGCTGCTGCTGCTGCGCTGCTGCTGCTGCTGCTGGTGGCGCTGTGCTGCTGCGGTTGGGGCGGCTGCAGGGGCACCACACAGCAGCGAGGCACACACGCACGCGGGTGCTGCAGTGAGGGGCTGCTGCTCCTGCTGCTGCTGCTGCTGCTGCTGCTGTTGGGGGTCTTTGGGGGGCGTACCTTCGCTTGCGGGGGCTGCTGCTGAGGCGCAGCGGGGCAGCTTTGCAGCTGCTGAGGCGGCGGGGCTGCAGCGGCACTACAGGTGCAGCAGAAGAAGCAGCAGCAGCAGCAACAGCAGCAGCAGGCGCAGCAGCAGGAGCAGCAGCAAGTGCTGGGAACGCAGGCGCCTGACAAGACAGCCCCCGAGGTGTATCTTCAGCTTTGGAAATGAAAATAAAAAGAATTAAAAGGAATTAATTTCAATATTTATTTATTTCCTTTTGTTCTGCTGCAGCTCGCTCGCAGGCTGCGCGTCTGCATGCGCCAGCTGTACATACACCTGAGCGCCCCGGCCGTGCCGCCGCTGCTGCTTCTTTTTCCACTTTTTGCGGATTATTTTTATTTTCTTTCTTTTATTTCTCCAACAATTGCTTTTTTATCGCCAACTCGGACAAATTTAGACAAATAAAGACAACTTTAACGCAGCAGCAGCAGCAGCAGCAGCAGCACCCTACACGCGCCAGCTATTGAGCAGCCGCAGCCGCTGCAGCAGCAGCAGCAGCAGCAGCAGTACTGACACCGCAAAGTGCAGTTTGTTTTGTCTTTAAGTAAATTCTTTTCTTTATTTATTTTTGTCTTCCGGGGCTTTCCAAATTCAACATGTGATCCCCGCATCTGCTGCTGCTGCTGCCGCTGCTGCTGCGGTCGCTATTGCTGCTGCTGCTGGTGTTGCTGCTGCTATTTACAGTTGCTGCTGCTGTTGCTGCTACTGTCGTTGCTGCTGCTGCTGCTGCTCAATATGCAACTCGTTTTGCTGCATGCAGCGAGCAGCAAAAGGCAGCAAATGGAAGCTTTTTGTTTTGCTGCTAATTAGTCCATTAAATCCATCAAATGGTGCTAATTAATTTGATTAAAATTAATTTAATTTCGATTAATTAAATTAATTTAATTTAATTAATTAAGTTAATTTAATTTAAGTTAAATTAATTTAATCTAATTTGAAATTTAAATTAAAATCAATTCGGGGCCCTCGCTGCAGCAGCTGCATGCAAATCCATTTGCTGCCACTTTTTCTTTTTTAAACTTTCTTTATTTTATTTATTTTTTTATTTTTGTTTTATTATTTTATCTATATATTTATTTTATTATTTTATTTCTTTATTTATTCTAGTTATTTATTTATTTTATACATTTTATTTTATGTATTTTATTTATATACTTTATTTTATTTATTTATTTGTTTTTAAAGTATTTATTAGTAATTAATTATCGTCTTACTGTCAATTTGTTGTTAATTAATTATTCATTTATTATTAACTATTTAATCATTTATTTATTATTTATTTTTAATTTATTTTTATATTTTTAATTTATTTTTTATTTTTATCTACTTTTGAAAGGTAATCCCGAACTTCTTTTTTTCCATTTTTTTATATTTTTAATTTTTTATTTAAATTCTTTTTTAATTCTTTCTTCATTCTTTTTTAATTCCTTTTTTAAATCCTTTTTAAATTCGTTTTTATTGCTTTTTGAATTCCTTGTAATTCTATTTTTAATTTCGTTTTTAAAACTGTTTTAAGTCTATTTTAAATCTATTTTAATTTCTTTTATTTTCATTTTGATTTAATTTTAAATTTCTATTTTTATTTTCTTTCTTCTTTTTTTGTCTCTTTTTATTTTTTAATTTCTAATTTTGTCTCTTTTTATATTTACTTTCTTTTAATTCTTTTATTTCTTTTTTGGTTAATTCTTTTTAAATAAATAAAATAAATAAAAAAATAAATAAATAAAATGAAACAAAATAAATAAATAAAGTGAAATAAAATAAATAATTAAATAAGTAAATAAACGCAATAAAAGTAATAACAATTGGGCTGAGATATCAGCAAGAAAGAAACAAATAAAATAAATTCGAAGCAAAACTATTTGTTCTAAATATCTTCTTCTTCGTGCTGCTGCTGCTGCTGCTGCTGCTGCTGCGGGGGCTCGAGGGCCTGCAGCGGCAGCTCAATGTTAGGTGCTGCTGCTTTGATTTTAGCGAAGAGACTTTTAATTGTTTTGAGTTCTTCGAGCAGCCAGGCCTCAGCCCCCGCTGCTGCTGCCTGCTGCTGCTGCTGCTGCTGCTGCTGCTGCTGCAGCTGCTGCAGCGCAGGGCCGACCGCCGCGCTGTTGTCCGCCAGCAGCAGCCCCAACTCTTTGCATGCAGCAGCAAGTCTTTGTTCAGAGTTTGGCAGCATTAGCTGCGTCTCCAGCAGCACATTTTGTCTTTGTCGAATGTCGCTTTCTTCTCTTCCTGCTGCCTGCAGCAAACAGCAACTCTTTTCTTAATTTCTCCAGCAGCAGCAGCAGCAGCAGCAGCAGGGGCAGCAGCAGCAGCAGCGGCGGCGGCGGGAGGAGCGTACGCGATTGCAGCGGCACAAAGAGCGGAAGTAGCAGCAGCAGCGGCAGCAGCAACACAAGCAGCAGCAACAGCAGCGGCAGAAACAGGAACAGCAGCAGCAGCAGCAGCAGCAGCAGCAGCAGCAGCACCTGCATTTGCTGCAGCACTTGCTGGTGCTCTAGGACTTCTTCTCTGTAGCAAATTAAATCCTTAAAAATTCGCTCCACCACTTTGCGGCGAATCACGAGCTGCCGACGAAACGCCTCCATCTTTGCTGCTGCTGCTGCTGCTGCTGCTGCTGCTGTCGGTAGCGGTGCCCGTAGTAATGGAGGTGCTGGTGCTGCTGCAGTGGCTGCTGCTGTCCCAGTCGCTCGGAGTCTGCTGTTGCGGCTACGTATTTCTAGTGCTCGTTTTGCTGCTGCTACTGCTGCTGCTGCTGCTGCTGCTATGTGTGCGGAAGCAGCAGCAATTAGGTGTCTGGAGCTTCTCTGGCGCCCTTCTTGAGCGCGAATTAAAAAAAAATAAAATAAAAAGTAAAGTAAAAAGATTTATTACTTCAAATATATTTCCAAAGAAGAAGCAAGACAGCAGCAGCACCCAACCCGGGGCGGCTGCAGCCTCTCGGAGGGCCCCCTGGGGCTGCCGCTGCTGCAGCAGGCCCGCGTTGCTGCATTTAAAGTGAAATAAATGTTTTCTTTAATTAAAATATTTAATTAAATTCAAAAAATAAACAAAAACGCGAAAGTTTGTTGGTTAGTCGCTGCGGCGGTGCTGAGGTGTATCTACACCGCAGGCGTGGTTCAAAAGGCGCGCGCGCCGACAGAACAAATATCTTTCCTTCTTTTCATTCATTTTGGAAATAAATTGGCATTTAAGTTGTTAAAATACAAACAAATCTATTTGTCTGAGCTCTAGGTCTAAGCAAGCCGCGGTTCTCGAGCAGCAGCAGCAGCAGCGGCGACGGCAGCAGCAAGGGCACCAGCAGCAGTGACGGCGACTGCGAAAGCAGCAGCGGCGACAACCGCGGCAATTGTAGCAGCAGCAGCAACAGCAGTAGCAGCAAGGGTAGGAGCAGCATCACCAAGTGTAGCGGCGGCAGCAGCAACAAAAGCAGCAGCAGCAGGAAGGCAGCTGCAACCGCAGTAGCAGCAGCAGCGGCTGCGGAAGCAGCAGCAGCGGCTGCGGAAGCAGCAGCAGCAGCAGCAACCATGGCCCTATCAGCAGCAGCTGAGAAGATCCACACTCTCCTCGGTAAGCCCCACCTCAGATACGCTAACTAGGAGCAGCAGCAGCAGCAGGTGCTGCTGCTGCTGCTGCTGCTGCTACGCAATATGCTCAGAAGAAGCAGCAAAATTGAGGTTTGTATGCGGCAGCAATACAAATGCTAGCAGCAGCAGCAGCAACACTGATATGTATGAGCAGCAGCACAAGCAAAGCTGCAGCAGCAGCAGCAGAGAGCTGTCTGTGAGATGCCTCAGCTGAAGAGGAAGAGGCTTTGCTGCGGCAGACTTCTGATGATGCAGCAGCAGCAGCAGCAGCAACACCTCAAGCTGCAGCCACCAGCCCCGCAGCAACAGCAGCAGCAGAAGACGCGATCGCAGAAGCCGAAGCAGCAGCAACAGCAGCAGCAGCAGCAGCAGACGCAAACACCGCAGCAGCAACAGCAGCAGGAAGCAGAACTGCTGCAGCATGGGCGTGCCCTTCTGCTGCTGCTTTTCTCAGTTGCTGCAATCTCCGGCTTGATGCAGCAGTAGCAGCAGCAGCAGCAAACGAAAATGATGGGGATCTATCTTTTGTAGTTGGAAATAGCAGCGCAGATCTTGTGTGTCAAACCCTAAACCCTAAACCCTAAACCCTAGTTTAGCATTGGCAGTTTCGTATCTTTGCTTGAGTTCCGCTGACGTCCTAACCTCTCAGCCCTGCAACGCTTTAGGGTTTAGGGTTTAGGGTTTAGGGTTTAGGGTTTGTGCTGCGGCAAAGGATTCGACTGTGTCTGCCATTGGATACGCCTTCTGTCTTGAGACCTGCCGCCTACTGCAGCAGCTGGAGCAGCAGCAGCAACAGCAGCAGCAGCAGCAGCAGCAGCAGCAAAATGAGCTCCCAGTCTTCCTGCCCTTTGTTGACTGTCAGCCGGGCGCCCTTGGGAACAAGCTGCAGGTGCGTTTGCTGCCGCTGCTGCTGCTGCTGCTGCTGCTGCTTGTGTTGGAGGTGCTAATGTTCTGCTGTAGTGCTGCACTGCTGCTGCTGCTGCTGCTTGTTTGGGGTGTACGTACACCAGGTGGACTGGTGGGTCTCTTCCTGCCTCGGCGCTGCTGCAGCAGCTCAGCTGCTCTTCTTGCCTGACAAAAAGCCGCAGCAGGTGAGCAGCAGCAGCAGCAGCAGCAGTAGCAGCAGCAGCAGCAGCAGCAGTAGGAGCAGCAGAAGCGGCTGCCTTCTGTGTTATGCTGATTTAGTGGCAGGGGATATTTGCTGCTGCGGGTGCTTGAATGCAGCTGCTGCTGCAGCAGCAGCAGCAGCAGCAGCTAGGGAAGGGACTTACCAGCATTAAATTCTGTCTCGTTGATCACAATGACTTGGAAGGGGACAAGCAGCAGTGAGATCGCTGCTGCTTTTGCTGTTGCTGCTGCTGCTGCTGTTGTTGCTGCTGCTACTGTTGCTGTTGCTGCTGCTGCTACTGTTGCTGCTGCTGCTGCTGCTGCGGTTGCCGCTGCTGCTGCTGCTGCCAGAGGCGCATGCGGGTGCTGCTTGAGGCGTTTTTCCCGCTTCACTGTGGGGTCTAGGGCAACGCTGCGACCGAGGGTTTAGGGTTTAGGGTTTAGGGTTTAGGGTTTGCAGGTGGCTGGAAGACGTGATTAGCTGCATAGACCACCACGAAGACAAAAAGCAAATTTCAGAAACCACAAAAAAGCGAATTGCGGGTCCTCAAGTTGGCTCCTGCGCTTCTTTAATTGCCCTATGCGTAAAC